CAGCTTCTTGGCTATGTCTCCTCGACACAATGCCTGGCTTTTATGTGGGAACTAGGGATCAAATCCTGGTCTTCATGATTTTGTGGCAAACACTTTATCTACTGAATCATCTCTCCAGCCCTCTATTTTTTATGCTATGGAATTTGTTCCTTTTTATGTTTTCTGAGTGCTGCCCTTATAATATAGTGACATGCCCTAATGTTTTCTTCTCCATTTATACATTCATCATTTTATCTTCAGTTCTTTCTTTTACATCAATTTATTTTGATGTAAGAAGTCAGAATCCAACTCTTCAGTGATTGTTTCATTACTTAAAAAATAATATTCCGTAAGTTCCCCTGATAATTAAAACAATACATGCTTGTCATATAATAGGCTCTCATACACATTTTAGTTCATTTTTAACTGTTATCTTCTAATTACTTACCCCTCTATTGTGTATCAGTGAAATATATTTCTAATTGCTTGAGTTACATGGCATACTTTAATAAAAGAGCAATAATAATCTCTGTTAGGTTGATTAGATCCCCCTTGACTGCATTCATACAATTAGTGACTTAAATTATGGTCAGACCAATTTTGTGAAATTTCAAGAATTTACATTGATGCTACTATTTGAAATCACATTCAGTTTATAGATTATTAATACCATAGTTGGCATCTTTACATTATTGATTTTTGTAATTTGAGTGAAAAATATGTTTTCCTATTTTGACTCAAGAGCTTGCTATGTAGCCCAAGCTGGCCTTAAACTCATAATCTTTCTGTCTCAGACATTTGAGTATTCTTATCTGACCATAGCAAGCATCCTATCTTCCATTAATATTCAACTTAAACCCCAATTGTTTTTCATTTTAATGATTCCCTTGGATAATATTTTAGTTTTCTAATACTGCTGTAACAAATGTCCCCAAACTTAGAAATAAAACACTCCAATTTATTGCTTTGAAATGTTGGAGGTAAAGTCTGAAATGGAAATCACTGGGATAAAATCAAGATGTCAGAACAACTGTGTCCTTTGCGGCACCTTAGGAGAATATCTATTCCATTGACTTTCCCATCTCCCAGGGCCACATATATTCCTTCAATTATGGCTCCTTGGTTTCATCTTCAAAGCCAACAACATTGCATTTCTCTGACCACCCTTCCATAATCCCTTCCTCCCTGACTGTGACTGGGAAAGGTTCTTCATTTACAACTGATTAGTCTGGGCCCTTTCAGACAATGTAGGATAATTGGCCTATCTCAAGGATATTACTGTTTTACATTTGCAAGATTCTTTCTGTCCTGTGAGCTAATATGTTAATAGTAGGATTAAGGTGTGGCCAGCTTTGGAGTGCCCTCATTCTGCAGACTATGGACACATTTAAATTAGTTATGGACTTCTTTCCTTTCATCAAACCCCATTCTAATATTAATTGAAGGAGACTTTGACTAACTAGGGATAAGAAATTTAAAGTAAAATGAAGAGTATTTGTTTTAACAATATCTAACTGCCAGTAAGCTTATTTTACATTCTAAATTTCCAGCTACTAATTCCAGATGGATCTTCAACTTCCTTAAAATCCAGCATTATTGCTGGTCCATTAGATCCTATTTCTTCAATTTCTCTTTCTCTTTCTCACACTTCTAAGACCTCTTCCCCATCTTTACTCCTAACAGCATTTGACTTCACTGGAAGCACAGAAGCAATGTGAACTCAAATTCTACATGGTCCCCTGCCATCTTCTAACCTACCTGAATCTTTGCCCATATAACCAATGTCTAGTCATTATGGCTCTAGCCAAGGTAAAATTCTCCACTGTCATTCATTCCAGGCAATTATCTCAATGACTTCCCAACACCCTGAGCCTCAATTCTCCCTTCTCTGATGAATTTTGAAGCTACACAGTATGCCAGAGTATCTTTATCTGAGACCAGGAAGCTTGAGTCTCCACAAATCAGCCCACACAATCATCCCCCAAGTAACAGGAAATGGAAATGTGAGTTTGAATAGGGTTTTATGTCCAATGTGTCTCCCGTCTTATCAGGAATGGTATTATTTCTTTAGGTTCTAGACCCTGGATGTTGTGTTTATTTTCCTTGGGGAAATTATTCACATGGTGAATCTGACAATGTTTAGAACTTTTACTTGGGGGTTTGCCTGGGGACTAAGTGTCCACATCCATCCTATAGATGCTATCATAGCATTTGGCACTAGTTACACATTCAAAAGAGCTCAGTTGCTATTCCTTGTCTATAAATCACCTACCCCAAACAATATTTCCAGAAAGTTTTGTCTGATGGCTGAATTTTTCCACTCATTCACAACTTCTTTCTTCCACAAATAATAAAACTTATTTATAAACCATTAATTCTCATTTTGATAGAAAAAATGAAAACATCCCTCATGGTCTGGTGAAATTTTATAACAGCTCAATAGCATGAATCATTCCTTGAAGGTGTTTGGAACAATGTAGCTGTAGACAGAGATTCTAGCAAACAAGTTTTATAGCAGTTCTACTTGTGAATGGTTATTTAATTTAATGGCCTCTTCCAGAATCAGGAACAAAGAGAAACACCAAATTAAAGGTTTTAAAGTAGTGCTACAAATAATAATCTCCTTCGTGATAGCTTATCTTACCTTCATTAAATTCAAAGCCTTTTCAAAGTTATCATTCCCTTCAGTATAAACTACATTTGCCAAAATTTTCACTTTTTTTAAGAATGGAAAGAATGTTTGTGCTCATGAAAAGGAGATAGGATTATTGGTGATGGTTATATAGGGCACTTGTGAGCTAACTGGGTGGGGAAGACAAGTTTCTCCTGCACATTACAAGCAAAGCAAGGCCAGGTGAGGCAGGAAAACCTGTAAGTAAAACACGTAAGTATAACCTGATAGTTAGTCACTGTAGTACATTTTCCACAACTGTATGAGAATATCACATCTGTGCTGAGGATACCTATGTGTGAGATTCACATGAAATGGGATGACAAAGAATGGGGATGGCATAGGTGACTATTAACTATCATGGCAACAGGGGACTAAGAAAAAAGCCAAGGGAACACAGCTTCCATTACTGGCATACGTATCTCCCTAACACATAGCCACCTCCTATCATGATTCTGAACTCCATAATAGCCCAAAACAAAATATCAGATTTCAGCCTAAAGAAAATGCAAGGCATGGCCTTAAGACTTATCATCTAATTGCAAACTCTGTACTCAGAATTTTGTGCTACTCCTTGTAAAATCAAGAACCAACTCTCCTATTGCAAAGGTGAAACACCTAAGTTCACATGACTAGTGTATGAGTAGAGGGTGGGTGATAAAATGAATTCTTGGATTCTAGTCTTTAGACTCCTAAATTAGTACAGCCAAGTTTAGAAACAAAACAAAAACAAAAGATAGGCCTATCAGTACTGTGAATGACAGAATGTGAGCATATGTGTGTGTAAGATCAAGTTGCTTGGCCCTTGAATATTTGGGACCTGATAATAACTATTGAGAAAGGTTGCCACATGTATTGTTGGTGATTTAGCAGTATTTCTGACTTGAACCCACATTATGCAAGTAGAACCCTCTCCCAGATTATGATAATCAAATGCATGAACAGAAATTGGCAGACGTCCTCTGGGAGATAGAAGGCAAAAATCACCTCCACTTGAGAACAACATTATACACACACATATATGTGATATATTGTGGTAGTTAGTTTTCTTTCAGTGTGTGGCTGCAACAAAATACCAGAGATAAGCAATTGAAAAGGAACAAATACATATGGTGTTATGGGTTTCAGTCCATGGTCACTTGGATCCCCTCTTTCTGAACCTATTTTGAGGCAGAGCATCATAAGATTGTGGTAGAGCAGAACTGCACAGTTCATTCTGTCAAGGAGGCAGTCAGAGAGGAGGCCTTGCTCAGACCAGACTCACTTTCCATATGCATGCCCTAATGACTTACTCCATCACACTGACTCCTATCTTCTGTGGTTTCATCTCCTCCCAATAGTCCATTCAATCATGATTTTTGTCAGTGGATTAACCTATTGATAAAGGTCAGAGCCCTAGGGATCCAGTCATATTCCTGAAGCCATACCTCAGCAATAGGGATAAAGCCTTCAACACATGAACCTCTGGGGAGCATTGAGATAAACTATAACACACATGAATTCATGGACTTATTATTTGATGGATAAATATTCATAACATGTCTACCTTTCAGAAAGCTTGCTGTCTATATTCTGCTTTCCTTTTTATTTTGAGCGCATTGGTAAAAACTTTTTATGAACAAGTTTACTATAATCTCCATAATGAATTATGGTTTTCCATTCTGCCTCAAGTTATTTTTTGCTTCATGAAAATATAAAAACTGCCTTAGCAGATTACCATAATCAATCAGAGACAGACTTCTACAGAGTGAAATAATCCAGGTCCCCCATGTTCAGCTTTATGGGACTCAGGCCCTGTGACAAAGCACCAAGCACACCAGGTGGCTCAAGTGTCACAGAAGCAAAGTCCTAGCTAGACACACTAGGAAAGACTGGCTACAAAAGGAGTTCACAGCCATCTCATCCCTGATTTTCAGTTTGAATGAGAACAAACCTGTAAACTTAACAGACCTGAGGCACTCTTCTAAGATGTTGATCTGGAAATAAAATTGAGACAGACTCAGCTTTTCTTCCAAACCTTGTAGCTGACCTCTCTGTAAGCTTTCTCCTTGGTTGATGGGAAGCCAAGGAGACTTTTGAGATATTCCTGGCTTTCCTTTGAAAGACTCCCAGTTAATAGTTTTTTTTTATTTGCTTGTTTTTTTTTGTTTGTTTGTTTTAATTAGCTGGCATGCACATTGTCCTGCTTGAACATGTCTTTCAAAACAGACAGGGATACCAGCCACCCACTAAGAAGCTATAGTTTCCATCCTCTGTTAATGCCAGGCATGAGAAGACTGGCTTTGGCTGAACAGGTGGTTGACTGGCAGAGCCCCCCACAGAAAGGCAGACAGTGCGAACAGGGCCTTACCTTTGGGGATGGTGATCTGACAGCCGAGGTCACAGTCCTGCTGCAACTGATAAAATGCCACCTCCTGCAGCCGTGCCCGCTCCAGCTCTGAGAGGCTCTGGATGGGGACTGACCTCAGGCGCACGCTGCGGCCAGACATGCTGTTCCAGGTGAAGTCACCCTGCAGGCCAAAGGAAAACATGGAAGTGTTACACAGTTCACCCATTTGTCACAAACTTCCTTCTCTCTAAGGCAGTAACAAAGGCAAACGAATTACACATTTGTGTTCCACAGTTGGCTCTCTAGTTCCCAATCCAAATTCTGTCTTAGCATGAATTTTCTAGTTTAGCATGAATTTTCTTAGTCAGTTGTAAAAATCTAATTGGCTAAAGTGACTGCTGGGTAAAAATTCTTGTCTGACAATGCATACATAGGCCAAGGAAAACCATGTGGAAAGAGGTCACAAGGGTCCTACTTCAAATATATGTATGTAGATGTTTTGTGTGTATCTTCATAACAGGAACAACTGTGCTGCTACTTGCTATCATGTGCATCTCATATAGGGGACAAATGTGTTTTGAGAGATTACTGTGTGTCATTGTTTTTGCCGTGTTCTTTTTGGTCCATCTAGCAATCCATTGGAATGGCCAACAATTTTTACCTTATTGATAACATGACAGCATTGAATAAATGATACTGCTAAATTATAGTATGTAACAATATACTTCTTATTTAGTATCCAGGTGATCTATTTCAGTAGTTCCCATGGATATTAAAACATATAGGTGTCCAAGACTTTATTTTAAACTGTCAGTATTGTCATATATAGCCTCCTGTATGCTTTGAGTTATTTCTAGACTTCTTTTACTACCTAGTATAATTTAGATACTGTATAAATCATTGTTATAATGCATCATTTGGAGAATAATGGCATTGGAGAACAATCTATACATGTTTAGTACAAATATAAGATATTTATTTTAGGAAATGTTTGCTTCATGCTCAGTTCTGTCTGTGGGTGTAGAATCCAACAACACCAAGCACTGGGCATCATTTCAACACTGAACACATATGTAATATATTATTTTAATATATGCTTAAGGTACATTACATTACTCTAGTAATGTAGTATCAACAATTATGATAATATAGTACTGCTGATGAACCTGTATCTTGAAGTGTTTAAATAATTTTCACCAAATCCTAAGGGCCAAGCTAATGTATGGCTTTAAAGTCTATGGCAAAATAGTAAACACTGTTTCTACTTACAGAACTTTCATGAGCCATCTTTCAACAAAATAAGTACAGATTATCAGTCATGATTTAAATTTATAGAGACATTTGATTTTAAAGTGCTCTACATCAGTAAATCTAAGCATGTCTTCCTACAACTGTAAGAGTACATTTATGTATATGCATAAACATCTCTGCTGTCCATGGAGAGTGCTAGCTCCCAATCGCACTGAAGACTGGGAGAATGTGATGGGCCATGAAATACTACTTCCCATTCCCCTGAAACTCACCATTCCTTGCTTCTCAAGAGGTCATTCTACAAATCATAGATAACAGACACAATGCCATGGATTCCCTCCACAATCAAGAGGGAATTTTGTTAGTAGTGGTCTTGACTTATATGAACGAACATCCAGTGGCTAGTAAGCACTCACATGTTCTTAGTAGGCTCTGGGAGGGTGATGTGGGGAGATGAGTGAGTTAACAAATGTACTCCAAGAGAGTAGGCTGCTGACATACTTGGTCAACTGAAGACCAAGACCAATACATTCTTTTCTCTTTTGTTTAATGGAGCAAGCTCAAGTTTAACCAGTTAAGATCTGGGGTCTCAGACCTTGGCTGTGCCCCTCATTTACATGTCCAGAGATTAATATTCTGCATGTTATGTTGTCTGTGATTTGTATTTTTCCCCAGATGAGAAATCTTAGATGAGTTTGTAACCTTAAATTTTGTTTCACAATTGCTTATTGGTGTGTGTGTGTGTGTGTGTGTGTGTGTGTGTGGGTGTGGG